CTTAACAGCAACCTATTGCGCATATGTCAATATGTTTGGTTGTCATGGACTTTTTGAATGAAATGTTGCTGATGTTTAGTCTTGAAGCAATCAAATACGTGTAGTCGTTGCATGCCTTTAAGCATAGAAAAAATTTTAAACAGTCGCGTGTAAAAAGAAGAAGAATAAAAATCGAATCGATAATGGTTACTGATTCGCTAACATCCATTTTGTAAAAGAGAACGTTTTTTTATTAATTAACCACTATATACAAAAGCATTAGAAAAAGAAATTTAATTTGTTTCACATAGAACAATATTAAAATTTAACAAGATGATAAATTCATCTTGGCCAAATACACCATGTCAAGTGCAAAGACCATCATTAATTGAGGATGATGATGATGATCATACTAATAATAAGAATGAAAAACAATTGCTATCAAGAAGTTTCACATTTGATAAGGAACCATTAAAACAAAAACGAATAAAAAGACTAAATCGACCATCACCACCTATAATTGAACAACAACCACAATGTTTAGGTCGAAGTTTACTTAGTAATGATAATTGACGGCAAGAGACAATGGCTGATGTTCGTATTAATGCTAAAAACAATTGAACAAAGTGATTAAAATATTCTCTTTGGCGAAGGCAATATCTCAATTAAAAATAAGTCAATATAAATATTTAATTCAGTTATTGGTCCTCTACCATATGTACGTGACATGCTTAATGAATTGAGTAATACAAAAGCTTTTCTTTATGCTCGACAATGTCGTATTATTGCTGCTAAATTACGTTTATGTTGGAGTGATGTTAATGAAGAAATAAAATCATTATTAAAACATAAAGAATATATAGAAGCAGCTATTGAACATATTCCAAAAGATTTAATAATTAATAAAGAGAGTGTTAAAATACAAAGAAAAACCAAAACGAGAAGCGCTAGTTTTATTTTACATTTTTAAAAGATATTTGTATTCTGATCAATAGGAACCAGATGGTATTGATGATAGACTTGCTGCAGAAAAATATCATTTAATATTATTGATCAAATACAGATATAAAAAATCTTGAATGATTTTTTTGCATTAATTAAAATATTTAGAAACTTGATGAAGTTCGTCAACATGTAACTAAAATTGGTAGAGAACATTTGAATTGGCTCTTTTTGAAAAGTAAATAATCATTTTATGCAATATTATTTGTTTGTTTGTTTTTTTATAGATTAGATAATTTACAACAACGTCAATAACTATTGACAGTACTTCCTTAACTATTATCAATTGTTGATTTCCGTCTACCACGTACACCTCAAAATAATCCAATAACTTTATCTGATTCAAATTTAAATAATACAAATATTTCGACAGAAGCAACATTATTGAATGAAAATAGTTTACTATTTGTTGGAAATTTACTTGCTTTTACATCAGATGTTATACAAGTATTTCAAGATGTACCAAAATTAATTGAAGAATCATGTGAAATTAAAAAACAAGCGATGAATCAAATAAAAGATACAAAAGTTTACTCATTAATTGTCAATCAAAGTATTGCTCAAAAACTTGCGGATATTATTACATTAGCTGTAAGAATATTGTTTCATTTCAAAGACTATAGTTTTGTTAGAATTAAGCGTTTCTGATAGGAATGAAAGTAGGATATACAGATGACCAACTACAAGCAATTTAATTTAATTCACTCAAAGAGAGTTTTTTGACTAAACTTGCAATTTTTGAAACGTTTTAGTCAATTCAGCTCAACTGAATTCATCAATTTTGAAAATTGTTATGATGTGATTACACTCAATTTAAGATTTGAACTAAGTTGAATCAACCTTTTTGCATTGAATTGTTCAATTCTGATCTCGGTCATTCTTGAGAGTGTGGGTGCGAGTGTGGTCTGGAATTAGTTAAAGTGTGCACCCACATCCTTTTTCTTTCTTTCATCCTTGTCAGATACTCGTTGTTCTTGCTGATACTGTAGAGTATCATCATCATGTGTCTCTTTTTTTTTGATAGACATATTGTCTTTCGAGAATATATTAGAAGATTTTGACTCTTCTTTGTCTGGTCTCATTGATGAAGTCAAATTGTTTTTGACTTTATCAAATAATCTATTTGCTTGAAATAATGGGTAAAACTATGGCAGATAACGTATATAAAAGAACTTGAAAAAGAACATTTCTGAAAATTGAGCTTTGAATGTCTAAAATTATTATAAACCTAATACATAATTTTTATGCCAGGATGGTGACAGTTAAAATAAAATTTCGTCCTCAAAAGTTTCAATGATATATCAAAGAATCTATAGATCATTTTGCGTATTATAATGATTTATTATTTATTTATCTTAGTATCTAATTTCGTATTATTTGTCAGAGTACCAAAAACATTTTTGGCTCTAGTAATAGAAAGATCGAAAAGAAAAATGTTGCAACAAGAAAATGTTCAAAAAAAAGTTGTATTAGTAAAGATGATGAGTAATATTTGACAGAGAAGAGCTAGCTAGAATAATCAGAAAAATAAAATAGTATTATACAAATGAAAATATATTATCATGACAAACAG